GGATTTTCGAACCATAAATATAATTGCAAACTTAATGGTTGAACGTCGTATATTTCAGAGGAAGGAGATGGTCAGGTTTGGCGGTCATAAAGAGTCTAAAATAGTGGAAAAATTATTTTATTTAAAGCCGACGTTTCGACCCGACTTTGCAGGTCTTCTTCAGGGCTTGAACGGACAAGATACAAATGTTACAAGTTACAAAACTGTTTTTACCAGTTTAAACTGAAACTCCGTGCTGCATGCACCTGTAAGTCTATATTTTTATTCTTTTATTTATTTTATTTTATTTTTTATTTATCTTCACATACTTTTTCATCAAGTAATTCATATTATTTTTTCTTTTTCTTTCAATCTCTCCTTGAGATCTATAAGAGTGTGATCATAATTGCATATATTATCCATCCTTCTTATTACATTCAATTATTACCTATATACAATTCATTTTTTACAACAATTTTTACCATTTAGTTTACTGTGTTTATATAGTTTATTGTTCTTAATATTTCAATATACTTACTGTTTGTAATTTAAATAAGATTATCCATCTTCTTTTTTGTTTTAATAGAAAATCATCTTTATTCTGGGCTAGGTCCCTTAAGAATAATAGTATTGTTCATATAAATTAAATATAAATCTGGCCAAAAGACCTATTACTATGTTACTTAAACTGACTATGTATCTCAATACGCGTTATGTCGCAAGATGGTACGCGTAGAAATATATGTACCCATTACAGGGTTACTGTAATGTGGAAAAAAAAAAGACCTTTTACAATAAAGAATAACAAAATACTAGTAATAAATTAAATACCTCTTAGGATATATTAACGATAACAATTGAGTAATAGGGTTTCAATACTACAATATCGGAGCTAAAAACATTAGCATAATAATCACTAAATGAAATTAGAAAAATCAAACGCAAAATCAATTTTATAGACAAAGCATTGTAGTGATGGAATAAAACTTTATCATTATCAAGAATTATAATTCTTTATAATTTTTATCTAAATATATAACTTCCTCAATTTTCTATATCCTTTTGTATCTTGTCCGTTCTAGCCCTGAAGAAGATTTGCAAAGTCGGGCAGAAACGTCGGCTTCAAATAGTTTCCCACTATTTTAGTCTCTTCATGACTGCCACAGCGGACCATCTCCTTCCTCATAAATATAATTGAATATTTTCTTAATACTGGAAAATGTTTTATAAGTATTTTTAAGAATGGGTTTGAAAATGTTAAAGATATGTTGGTTTTGTTTTTTAAATTATTTTAAATGTGATTAACAATGGGACCAAACTCAGGAGATTTTAATTTAGGTATAAATTATTTATACGACTAATAATTTTAATTGGATGAACAGATTTCGTTGGAGTAGAGTGATAGAAGAGATTTACTCTGAAGAAATTTCTAGCTGATGCTCTTCTAGCCTTGCACTGAGTTACTCAAGCAAATCTCTGAGAGGGATGAATATATTCTCTGAGTGGCGTGCCAACAATTCAGCTTTCTATGCATCCGACTTTCATGAATCATCAGAGAACGGATTGGATGGGATATCCCTTGATGATTCTACGAAAGTTTTTTTTTATTAATGAAAATAAAAATAAAGAAATAAGGTTTCAGAAATTTTAAAAAATTCTTTTTTCAGAATATATAACTTTAATAAAAACGTCTTCCTCATTCTCCAAAGAAGTCTATTCTAAGTAGTTTTTTCTGGTATCTTTTGAAGGATGACAAGTCCTAAAAGTGATGTAAGTTGATATTAGTTATTTAAATTGGCTTGTCATGTGTGTCTTTGTTGAAAAGATACTGTCTTTATCGTAATTATTCAGAAATAATTCTTTCTCATTTCTATATGAAAGTATACGATAAAGATATACACTGACAGGCAAAAAATTCCACCCACTTGTTACCCATTAAGGAACCACGTTGGAACGGTTGCCTTTGGGAAAAATTACAGGCTGCATATCTTTCGTTTATTCTTCTCCACACCCTTTCACGCCCGTCTGGAGATCGAAGAGCAAATCTTGACTCATATGTAAAAAGTACAGCACTCCATTCGTCCATAGTCCAATGGCTGCGTTCTCGAGCAAAAGCCAGCCGTGTTACTCCGTGAGTTCTGGTCAACTCTGGTCCTCCTACTGGACGAAAAGCCATTAATCCATACTCATTTAATCTTCTCCGAGCGGTACGTTTAGAAATTTGCACACCTCGAACTTCTTCGAGCTGATGAATCGCTTGAATAACGGTAAGGTTTCGTAAAATTCTCAAAGTCAAAAATCGGTCATCCCGTGGTTCTGTTATCCTAGGCCGTCCAGAACCGTGCCTTCTATTGTAAGAACCAGTTTCCCGAAAACGCCTGACGGCGTCTCGTAAAGTCTCATATGGAACTCCGATGGCATTAGCTGCATATCTAATGGAACATCGATCATCAATAAGTGCCACACCACACACAACATCCTCAGCACTAAGAGACATTTTTAAACATAATAATGAAAAAATTAAAAGCCGGAGACTAAGAAATGTGCTGAAAGAAACGGCACTGAACTAATGATACTGAATAAACATTTTGATTCCACAGAAAGTAAACATTGGAATCTAGAATCATTTCATTGAGTTAAGAATTAAGAGTTATTGTCCTCTATATTAACATTTCTAATTGAAAACAAACAAAAATATTACCTATTTATTCATTAAAAACAATAGACCAATCCTTCTTCTTCTTTTGCATCACCCTGTAGTGCCTTTCAGCTTAGGGGAGCGTCTATCCAGAATTTTCCCTGTTTCTTGCAAGATTTCTGACTTGACGTATATTTTTATTTCTATTTTTGCACAGGCGGTCTACGTATTCGAGGTACGACATTCTCGGTCTGCCGCGGGGTCTTCTGCCATTGGGGACGTAGTCCATAGACTTTAATGGATCTCTGTGTTCTTCCATCCTAATCACATGCCCAAACCACATAAGCTGCGGAGTCTTTAGGACATCCTTCATCGGAGGAACCCCCAATTCCGCCCTGATTCTCTCTTTGCGAATGCAGTCCCGTCTCGTTTTCCCTGCGATCCTTCAAAGAAACCTCATTTCTGCAGCAATGATTTTTCTCTCAAGTTTGTCAGTCAGCAACCATCTTTCTGCACCATACAGGAGCATAGGCAAGTATACTGCCTTAAATATGTGCAGTTTTACACCTCTGCTCACTTCTCTCTTTCCGATCACAGTATTGCAGATCTGGTGATATATAGCGTTTGCTTTGTTTATCCTGTGCAGAATTTCTGAATCCACTTTCCCAGATCGATCCATAGCAGAACCAAGGTAGGTGAAATCTGACACAACTTCCATCACCTCTCTGTTGCAATACACTGTAACATCTTCCTGCACCCTTCCAACCTGTCGGATCTTGCTCTTTCCTGTACTGATGACCATCCCCTTCCTGAGGAGCTCCTCGTTCCATTCGTCAACTGCCTGCTGTAATTTAGAAGATATAGAAGAAAATGAAATACAACTGGAAGCAGATTCCTTCGCCCCAGAAACGTCCTTTCTGTTCGTCTTTTGCAGATTCCAGCAATTTCATCCATATATAATATAAATAACAGCCGGCTTAAACTATCACCTTGTTTGACCCCCTAAGCTATGCTAAAATAGCCAGATTCCTGTCCATTCAGTCAAGATTTTGGTATATGGATTTAATGGCCTCAACCAGGCTTCTAGGAACATTTTCTTTATAATAGGAACATAGACCAATCCAAAGCAGAAATATTTTTAGATGAAAACATGAAAAATTCAAGTGGGTGGAATTTTTTGCCTGTCAGTGTGTACTGATCACTCACATGGGAAAATATATATATATATATATATATTCAGTGGCTCACTAATTGAAATTGATACAACCCTTAGTTCATAAATAGATAAACAAAATATTCACAGATTTCTTATAACATTAAATTAAAACTGAAAAAATAAACTCTTCCACAGATAAAAAAAATAATCTGTATAATTTTATCTCATGGTCAAAATGATACACCTCACTTATTATTAACTCTTAAATACTATTAATTTGGTTCATCCCCTTGTAGGCAAGCCATTATTTTCTACCACGAGCGAATCTACGAAGAGGAGGAGGAGGAGGAGGGATTTCGGGCTGAAACCCCCTCAAAATGGTAAACCATAACCATATTTTATGAAAAAAATTATTTCTAAATTATTTATTATTCGTCTAATTAATATTACTTAAAGAATCACTTAAGGACCATTTAATATAGGTTATTAGTTTCTTTCTTTCTTCCGACGTAATTATCCTAATATATTTATACAAAGAAAATCTTTCGGGCTGAAACCTTCCCCAAAACTAAATCCTGGATCCGTTAGTGTTTTATACCACTCCTTTCAGTCTGTTTGTAATAGAGTAAACCAATTTTTTGTTTTTATCCTAAATTTTCCACAATTTCTTTCAAGTTTCTTCTCAAATGCCTGCATAAACATGTTTATTCACCACACAATGTGAATATTCCCACTATAAAATATAGATTTTTCTACACCAGAAGCTATCCAACACACCCTCACACAAAGAAACATAAAATAAGAATAGAACATAAAAAAATAACATAACATAAGAAGAAGAAAAATGACATAAATATAAATTGATCTATTTATATTTATTCAATAAATATAATTATTGAATGAATAAATTTATTCAATAATTTCTATCAATATTCAGATGTATCATTTTGAATGTGAGCCACTTTATGTATCCGAATCAATCTCCATCTAGTAAAAAACTATATCATATACCTAGCTAGTTCAAACAAATATTTTATCGTTGAATACCAATTACTTTGGTTTAAAAAAAATCATTATTTTAATATCTCATCACACAATGATTCAATAAAAGTTAATGATTATAAACAATAATTAATTGGAAAATATCTTACATTTTTTTTTTTTTTTTTTTTTTTTTTAGGGAACACTAGTTATTAGGAATGGGTGTATAAATGAAAACTCATGAAGTAATATTTTCAAATTTATTTCAGTTCAGCAATCATACAAATATATGATGGTTACATATCAAATGAAGAATGACCACCTATAGCTTTGGGTGAGTACTTTCTTTCATCCTCTCCTTTTCCAAAAGAGTTTTGAGCTTTTGGAGTTGGGCATCCACTTCCCGAAGAATGACAATTGCTTCCTCTTCCTTATCAACTGCAACGACTTTCAATAACGCCTCATAATTTTCATTCAAACTTTTATTCATCATCTTCAGCTTGTTTAAGTATGAAGAGCTCACCTTACGCAGCTTCTTTGGCATGATCATAGCATTCTGATTTTTATCCATAGTGCTTGATAGTTTTGTCTGAAACAATAATTAGAATAATTTGATAACCAAATATGAAATTCGGCCTTGTTGTCAATTTAAAGTAATTTTTTTTATATTAATTTTAGTTTCTCTCCATGGCTCTAATGATGTTGAATATATGTTAAAATGTATACAGTTAAATTTATAAAAAAAAAAAAAATATACTCCTTAAGTTTTACTAATAATAATTTTAAAATGAAAATAAAATAAGGCAGTTATTAAAATGACGCATCTTGAGACAGATTGTAATATTTATCAATAAACAAGTAACCTAAAAAAAGAAAAGAATAATGAGGCATCAATAAAAATGATGAAATGTTATAATAATTAGATAGTTCAAATATGAAATTTCGCCTTGTTAATGTAAAATAATTTTTTTATATTATTTTTTTAAACTTGATCCTAATGATATTGAATATACCTTAAAATTAATACAGTTAAATTTATAAATATAAAAAAACTATACTCCTTTAAGTTTTAAAAATAATAATTTAAAAATAAAAATTTAATAAGTCAGTAATTAAAATGACACATCAATATGAATGACGAGATGCTATAATAGTTAGATGAAATTAATAATATGTTCGATGTAATAAAGTCGTAATAATATTAAATTTCAAATTAATGCACGAGCAAATGAGCCTAAAAAATATATTTATTTCTTCTTTTTAATTTTTTAAACACATTTTAAAGAAACCTACTGGTTGGAATCTACCGATTTGAGATTTATAAATAATGACCATCCGAACTATAATATATTTAAACATTTTGAAGACTTGAGTTGTTTTCTTTTAAATTATATAATTCTACATATTATTCTTGTTAACATGTATTAAACAATGAAGCAGAACATTAAAAGCTTAACTTAATAGTTTGGATACTCATTGTATACTGGGGTGGATTGGCTGAACAGGAGTCGAGTGGAAAAGTGATGGACAATCCTTAACCGGGATTAATGATGAAGGATGTTCAAAATTTTAATTTATTTTCGGCAAAGTTTCGAAAAACATAATCAGGTATTCATATATTCTGCGCAAAAAAAATAATTTAATTTATTTTTAAAAAATAACATAATTTAAATATCCATATTGTTAGTGCAAAAGGTCATATGTAACAATTTTTAATTCAGTCGTTGAATAATATAATAATAATAATAATAATTCTATTGATGAGAACAATAGTACTTGTCCCAAATAAGGTACTGAGGTGTTCCCAGTACAAAAGATGACCATACCAAACAACCCATTATTTTGTAAGAAAGTTCTGTTTCTTGGTCTATGATAGGATTTTCCCTTAATTAATTTTACCCACTATGAAGAAGATAGGTGTTCCCTGGGAAGATCTCGCGATCCTAGGGTCGATCCACGGCTAATGTAGGGATAGAATAAATAATTACCTTAATTCTTCCCTCATTTCCAATTAAATATTCGCTTAATCACAACTGGTCAACCATCCGACGACAGACATATCGTCAATAATCATTGATAATGATTCAGGGAATAACCTAGTATTCATTGTGAATATCTTGAAAAGCTTATTTGGGAAATGTACTATTTTATTTTTCAACGTTTCAATTACACATTTAGGTATACCCAACCATCTCATTCTGCTAGCTTCGCTTGCTTAAGATGTAAACTATAGAATCTATATACATATATTTAAGAAACAATTGTAAAATATCTGAATTGAAAATTCGTCTATAAGCAGTATGCCACGTTAAGCAATAATGATAAATGAAAAAAAATATTATTTTTAAAGTAATTGACCATACTTTATTTATTTGCATCATAACTTATTTATTCGATATTTATTGAAATAGATATTCAATATTTTATTAAAAACTATTCTCGATCTACAACAGAAAACAATAAAAGTATTGTCAGGATCATCGGCGATAAAGGTTATATTAGAGATGGGGGCACGAGGGATGTCACGCGGGCACAATGGTGCCCGCGAGCTCTAGTTTGGGAACTTCTGGTCTATACTATTATTGGGGTACGTTTTTGTCATTAGAGGGCGCATTATGGTTAGACATTGGTAATGGGTGTCGCAAAAATATTTTGTATTTTATATTTCCTTTATAAATAAATACAAATTACATAGATATATTTAACTTAATTCTAAATAATTAAATATTAATTAATTCCACCGCTAGATTAATGAGTATCATACAAAACCAAAGGGTAACTAATTCACGAAAGCTACATGCGGCCTATAGGCCGCAGGTTCCCCACCTGTGCTCATTTATGATACACTGAATACAACTATTGCTCATTATTCTCAAATGAAATCTATAAAACCAAATATTATTCATATAGAATCAAGTCCAACTTTAGTCTAAATAAATACTTTATTAATAAGAACAAGGCGTTCAAAGCAAATTCAGCAACTTTTAAGTGAACAATGAAAAACACATTTCTAACGAGGGAAAATTAATTTAAAGTTTCAAAGTTTTATTTTTCTTCAGCAATAATAATATCTCTTTGTGACCGTTGTTTATTTTATGATCAAATAACAGTGAACCCTCTGTTCATGACTTGATTACTCAAGCTAAAAAAAATATTTAGTGTTCATTTTGAATAGAAACATTGAATGAGTCAGCCGATAATTAATTCTGTTTATCTGATCGGAACTGATATAAAATTACAGTATGACTAATAAAAATATTTTTTTATCATATTATATTTCGTTTAGAAAGCATAGATTACTCAACCTAGGACCACAGAATTCCTAAAATAACGTTATTATTTTCTGATTATTTCCTAAAAATATTGGCAATAAATAAAAAAGGACAGTTGTATGTTTTATTGTATCTGCTGATATTAAAATAAAAAAAAATAAGTGAAATTTTGTTTTATCGTTTGATCACAATTTTAAGTTTAGAAAGCCCAGAAATTGGATATGCTGTAATTAATTCTTGATGAAAATTAATAAAAAGATATTTTGTTCTATCTTTTCAAAACTAATAACTAATACAGCAAATAATCGAAAAGTTTTTAAAAAAGATTTATTAAAACAAATGTATGGAATCAATTGCCATTTGCTAAAAAAATATTAAGCAAGCAATTTTTTGATCTTTGTTATTACTCTTATTTTAACAACATAAAACGAATATTTAAATTTTCAAATTATTTTTAATAAAGAGCTGTCACGAATTTCATCCCTACAACTTATACGATAAGTAAATTGAATATTACAAGTAAATTTTGAATAATTGTTTAAGATACTGGCGAAATTATTAACTTATCGAATAACTATAATAAACATATAGTAACTCTTATAAATATGTAAAAATTAATTGTACATATCACTAAATTCATTGCAATAGTTATCCTAATGCACATAAAACATATATGTTGGATCCAATAATAGTATAAACTTAATTATGATATATTTATAATACTATAGGTAATTAACATATATTATTTTAAAGTTATGTGTACAAAATTTAAGATGATTAAATATTTATAAACATTACTTACAAAAATGAAAACGGCTTCTGTTCAAAACGGCAGCTCCAAACTAAATGGTACCTGCGCAGTCTTGTTGCTCTTTTTATAGTTGCGATACACTAGCGCTGCGGATGTAGAAAAATAAAATATGCACCGCTAAATTTGAAAATTACTTCATTAAAAACTCTATTCCTGGATTCTTATTAATATAACGTGTTATTGAATAATTATACTTGTAGTATATAAGTAAAATGAGATAGATATATTCCCTAAGAATCATCTTTTAATTTTTATGAATTATAAAAATTAAATTATTCTGGAAATATTAACGGAAAATTATGAGTGATAAAAAACATTATGATTGGATTAAATGTTCAATTTGATTGTTTTTTTTGTTGTCCAAAGCAATGCATTTTGAATTATATATTTCATTTGTTTTATAATTAACATTATTATAAAATTTGAATTTAATTTCTATTCGTGGGAATAATGTTCTACATTTCTGGCTATTCGCTTTTCTAAGGTGAATAAGGGATATTCCTTTATCAACTGTATATATTTTTATTTCTAGTGGTTCCAGAAGAGAAATGATCTATTTAAAAATGTGCCACTTATGCATTTGAAATGATTAAGAACTGCTAGATACCACAGAAACTCCCTGTTGTGACATACTAGATTGGGGTATAGTTTTTATCTGATATTATTTCCAAAGATAACATGTTATCAATTTATTTATTTAATCTAAATGCAGGAAAAAGGCTAAAAATCCAAAATCCAAATCAGAAACAGCCTAATTGTAATTGAAACATTATAAATACATTGAAAATATTGAATCGATGATGCTGATGGGAGAATGACTACCAAATAATACTAACACAGATATTACATGAGTATGTTTTGAAAGAATCTTAGACTTTAACAAGTTGACTATTGGGTTCAGGTCTTTAATGAGTTTCTTCCTCATTTTAGCTTCTTAATCCTCCTTTCTGGTTTTGATAAGGGGTTCCTCGCTGAAAGTATTATCTAGGCACCAAATTTCTTTCTGATTCTCTCTACACGACACATTTTCCCAAACAAAAATGGCTTTTCTATTTGACGGACTTTACCAACGGACTCAGGCTAAACACCCTTCTCTTAAGAAATGATCCAACGGACTTCCCGTTCTTTTCCAAATGTGTTTGCATCAAGATGTCCTCCTCTCTTCTTTTCTGCCTAACCAACATTTCCTATTGATCGGGTTTTGTTCAAGTGGCGGATTACATCTCCTATCCATTCTTTTGCAGAATTTTGAAAAGTTCTCTGACTATATTTAAACTTTGAAAAAGGCCAAGTTTATCTTATTTACTCCTTAAACGGATTGTTGGAGGAGCTTATACTGGAGTGCAGGCTCTGAAGAATTAATCTGGAGTATTCTGTCCCAAGTTTATTTGCAATATTCTGTTCCAGAAATTTGTAATTACCAAATGAACTTTATTTATTTTTAATTATTGAAATACATCAAATGATGGCCAAACACACAACTTGATTAAAAAAAAATGTGTTCTTTTTTATTTTATAAATTGTGCTACATATCATATAAGCCTTTCATTTGACAGAATGAATAACTCAAATTTCAATATTTTTGAGTAAAGCCATTTTATTGATATTTCTAGTTGGAAAATTTATCTATACTGACAGTGAGTAAGTTTATTCCAGAGTAGATGATTGCAGTGTTGAAATATAGGACTGTGAAAAAAAGGTATAAATTTTCCCGCTAGGAATATCACTAAAATTAATAATAAAAAATGTTGAGATAGGAGCTAGTCATTTTGTAGCTGAAAGGCTCATATGGTAAAGTAATATGGTTTTGTATGGTTTTCTACATAGGTACTTAGGTAGAATGATGAAATAAATATTGTAGCATATTATCTAATTTTCTTACTTCGGAATTCAGTTTCATACAAATTATAGTAAATAGGCTATAAGGACCAAATTACTATTTTTCCTGAAAAATGGTGTACTTACATAGAAAAAATTGTAAACATTTAAGGCTCATTATTTATAAGATATATATATATAATCCTATAAATATATATAATTTGAAATTTATATTGATATACATCTTTTTAATCTATCTGAGCACAACTCCGAGCCAGAGCCCCTCCAATATATATATATATGAACGTATATATATATATATATATATATATATATATATATATATATATATATATATATGAACGTATATAAGAACCTATATTATGTTTTATAATAACAATAAAAAATCATACTTAGCGTTGAGGAAATATGGTTATGATTCGATGGATGGTATGGTCATAATCTGGTTGTAGTTTCTATATTTTCATGGCTACCTTATTTTAATTAATTACTTAAATATTTATAGAAATATTACAATCTGTCTCTAAGGACGTTTATAATAGTGTTCAGAGATCACACACACACACACACACACACGCACGCACGCACGCACGCATGCACTCACGCACGCACTCACGCACGCACGCACGCACTCACGCACGCACGCACGCAGGCACACACGCACACACGCACACACGCATACACGCACACATGCACACACGCACACACGCACACACACACACACATATATGCAAGGGAACTCCGAGCCAGAGCCCCTCCAACTGTGGAGGGAAAAGCATGACTTCAGAAGATCTCTGCACTACTCTCTCAACCGTGTCAATGTGGCTAAACCCAGTGGATATTTATCGATACCGCTTTAGTCATAAACACTCATGTCGTGAGTGGAGAATCTGGCCATTGCCGGAACTCCAATATATATAGAAGGTCGCGGGACCACTGCCGTTTTAACCTGCTTGGAGGATTATATGGGTGGATCGTAATGGATAGGGATCGTGCAAGCATTAGGATCATAGGTAAGGTTCTGGTGAAATATGGAGAATTTTTCTAGGATAAGAACTAGGGCAAATGGAATATTAAGGTAATAGTGTAGGGTTTTGTTATTTTCAAAGAAAGAAGCATCAACTGTTGTTCGAAGGACTTTGGACTGGAAGGATTGGATGCGTTTGATGTTAGATAATTTTGCTGTCTCCCACATTTCAAGTCCGTAAGTCCAAATAGGTTTCAGTATTGCCATGTAGATCAGTATATTGTTTAGATAAGTCTAGTATGATGGTTTCACGTTAGTTATCTGTCCTTTAGTCATCAGAAACCAGAAAAACCGGATTCAAGATGAAGCAGTAAGACCAAGAAAAGATAGAGAGAGCCTTCCAGAATAGAGTATCATTCTCCCAACTACTTGAAGATAAGAACTCAATCGATAAATGTCAAACCCTGCCACAACAACAAACTGAATCCCAACTTCAAAATCCTATTCATCCTCATATACCTAACCAGCAACAACCTCAAATTCCTCATATTTCTCCTCCTCACAGATTTCAAATCTCTTGTTAATCCACTCATATCACTCCTCACAAATCTCGTATCTCTTCTCATACTTCTTTAAAAAAATCCTTAAATGATTCACATCCCGAAACCCACATCCATTCTCCTTTGATATGCGAATGGTGATAGAAATCACTTTGACAAACCAACAGCTTTAATAATGGACAAGAACATAGTGTAGCGTTAATTACGGAAGCTTGGCTGACCAGAAAGCATCTTTTAGAAATACCTCAATACATAGCATACCGTACTGACCATCCTGACGGTAGAGCACATGCCGGTACTGCTGTTATTGTATACCAATGGCTTTCTCATCGCCAACTCTCATTACCGACTCAAGATTTCCTACAATCCACCGCCATCGTAATCATAACCTTCTCCTTTCCCACCGCTATAGCATCAGCATATTGCACTCCTAACAGATCCATATCCAATGTCCAGTTGAGTTCTCTTCTCAACTCCTTAGGACATTACTTCATCCTGGGTGCAGATTTAAACGCCAAACAACGAACATTAAACAAAAAACATCAAGAATTGCGAATTCTCGTTGAAGAACATTGCTATCTGCACTCAATTGCCAATGGTTCAGTATCCTCCTCCCAACTCACCTACATACTGACCCACAGATCCTAAACGCAATTTCGTATCCTTGAATTGTTCATCCACAGTGGCTTAGGTCCCCTCAATCATTTCCTTACCCATCTTGACGAACTTTCTTCTGGTTATAGTCCATTATTACTCCAACTATCTCAAGCTCCTATTCCTAAGTCCTATTCCTTCATCTGAGGTCGAGTTAACTGAAAATTCTTTTACCAAACCCTTTCCGACTACATTGACCTCAGAATAACCCTGGAATCCCCAGAAGACGTTGAAAATGTCGTACACTCCTTTTCCACCACGATTCATAAGCAATCTGGACTGCTTCCTCTCCAAACCACTCCTCAAGAATTCCCAAGAAAAACAATTTACATCAACACCTCATAGACCTAATCCACATTAAACGCCGTACCAGATTATTATGTCAACGTGCTAGAACATGAAAATTCCTTATGCAAGATCACTAAAAAAATCCTAAAACATAAAAAAATCACATCATGTTGCACATTCTCTCCGTCAAGTTGATATCTCTTGGACAGCTTCAGACGAATATAAAGTCGAGGAATTCACCAAAAAACTTTCCCTTACATTCACCTCTTATCCAGAATCCAATCCCACCACACGTCAGCAGCAGGGGTATTCCTTAATTCACCCATCCCACAATCCTTACCACCTAAAGCAGTTAATCCCTCTGAGGTCAAATATCACTTACAAAAACTACTTACCCGTAAATCACCTGGATACGACCTCCTTGTCTCTCAGATCCCGATAACTCCCTAATCTGTCATATTTCTCACATACATATACAATAGCATCCTACGAACCACCTACTTTCCTCTTTTATGGAAACGTTCTACTATTATCATATTTCCAAAACCAGGTAAACCTCTCAAATGCTTAACTTTCTACACAGCCATTAGCCTACTCCAATTATTTAAAAGAAAAAATCCTCCTAGAATGAATCCTATCTTTTATAGAATCTCAAAATCTTCCTTCACATCAGTTCGGATTCCTTTCGCAACACTAGTCCAACAAGGACATCATATTTACGCAGGCCTGGAAAGAAAGCAATATTGTTCGTAAGCATTTCTGGACATACCTCAAGCTTTTGACAGGGTATGGCACGCCGGGCTTCTTTTCAAACCTAAAACCCGTCTTCCTCAGTCCTTATACCTTGTCCTCCGTTCCTACCTCTCTGATCGTACCTTCTGTGTTCGCTGCGGAATTGAATTTTCACATTGCTATCCAATTGAAGCTGGTGTTCCTCAAGGTAGTGTTTTGGATCCCGTCCTTTACACCCTCTTTACCGCTGACAGATGACATTAAGGATGAAGATAAAAACAAGACATATAACATTTTTGAAGTTTGCAAGTTTTATTTTCAAGCTGACACTATCACGTCGCTTACATACATCAGAAACATTCTGAGCTTAGATTCTTTTTGTTTTATTTTTGTAACAAAATCATCGCTGAGGAATAAAAATACAAATAAAATATCCAACTGTGCCTTTAATTGATTATATAAAGACTACGTATTCAGATGGTTTTATAATAGTCATTAACAGTCAAAGCGTCATTAACTAGTGTACGGATAAGATATAGAGAATATTTAAATAATTTCAGTATTGACCATAACTTGCGGATATAGTTTCAACTAACGAACATTTCAAAGTTACATTTTGGTAATTTTACTTTAAAAAAAAACAACATTAAAATTTATTATTTCGTTAACTTGGTTTGACAAGATAGTAACTTACATTTGTGGCTTAAATACAGTTATTGGTACTTATGAGTCATTTTTAAGGTTAAAGGTATTACATTTTAATTATAAAAGGATCAACTTTCAATTTTATGACCAACTTTCATTTTTTTTATGACCAATTATTAACTTCATTTCGAAGCTGTATAGAAAATAAGTTGTTAAATATGTTTTTGTTACTGTCTCCAAAATTTGAATCACTACCGTGAAAAGAAATTTATACTTAAAAAAAGAGAAAAAGTTATATTGTTGTTGTTAGTTTCGTTTTTATAAAACATTTATACGCATATTATTACATTTATATATAAATAAAAAAAAAAAAAATGTAATGAGTGGCAAAATTGTACTAATTTTCACTGGGAAGAAGCTCGTTTGATCTTTGCAAAACAAGAGCAACACATATAATAGTCCTTGTTAATCAGACTCAGTCTGCAACAGATGTAACAACCATGGGGGAGGGAGCGAGCGGGAAATGCGTGTGCAAACAGGCATTGCTCGGCAATCTGATTACTGAAGATAACTTGATAAAATAATAACGAGTTAGCGCCCGATGCCAATGGCTTATAAATATAAGCCATATATTTATAAAATATATAAATCCCCCGCCCACTACCCTGAACCGAAAAAAAACTTGTATAGCCTAAATGATAAGAAAGGGAAGAAAAAAAAAAAAAAAAAGAATAAAAGATTGAACAACCAAATTTACTTGTTTAGTTGCTCTCTTGTAGCTGTCACACTCTTGTAGTTACATTAAGTTATCTTGTCCCTTGTTCTTCCCGTTAGAAAAATAATAAACCAATTTATTTTAATTAAAATATAATGTTTTTTTCTTAAAGTGTTTCTCTGCTGCTCACAACGATGCCGACTAGGATTTTTTTTCTCACCATATTCTCCCAATAAATGCTATCGTTATTTTAGATGATATGTTTTGAAATAAATATAGTCTCACAAAATTTAATCATCTTATTGGCTGCATTAAAGTCAAAATAATCAATAAGAAGAATCAAACATTTTTTACTTAGCATAAAATAAAAATTCCCCACGAAATCTAATAAATTCTGAGGAACAGAGCATATTCCTTCTTTATCCTCTCTGTAGTCAAGTTCCTGATTACACCGATAGAAGGCTGATAACACCCAAAGCTGATGGATGAATGATCTCTCAGAGTAGATATTGAATAATTGTAACATCGGATTTCTTCTGGGAACATCTCTCATGTAGTTTCTTCCCAGTTTTAAATATTCTTTTTTAGGCATGTAAGAATAAAACAATAGAGTGTATGAAATTAAGATCATATATTTATAAAATAAAATTTATAAATATGTATTTAAGGTATTTAAAAGGAGCGCTGAGTGACGAGGAGGACCCACTTGTAGAGGAATGCGAGGCGCTCGGCGCACTGGAGCAATGTACGGGCCGTGGCCAGATCCTCCTCGTTCAGGTTGTTGTCGTCCAAGAAGACTCTCAGCTCCTGGATCAACCCCGAGAGGTATTCGTCGATCAACCTCAAGCTCTCCAGCTCCAGATGGAGTGTCACTATTCTCCGCCGATGCATAGCTATCTCTGGAAAAAAAGATATACAATTAAGCACCATGAATCAATAGATTAATTTTTACTATTAATGAGGACGTGATGGTGAAGCACGAAGGGATGTGGGCCTCACAGTTTCCGCTTCTGGATTTTATGGATTCAATTCCCACTTAGAGTGTTTAATATTTCTCGATGACCCTGCGAAATCTTGGAAAATCTGGATCTTGACAATTCCACTCTGGTAGGTACGCGACAGGAACCTGAAGATAGCTATCAGAGGTATGGCAAAAAGGACCACAAGACCCACTTGCTGGTTTAGCCCCTCTCAACATTACCACCACCAGTATTGCTATCGAGAATAGGCAACTAAATTGAAGGAAACTGAAGTAAATAAATAAATTGAATCTGACACTGCGATACACTGGATGAGAATTGATACAAACTAATCATAAATAAATTAATGCATTCTTAGTTAAAGGAGGTAGGTACATACATAGCTTGCTCCATATTCGTACGATTTATCATGAACTTGGATAACTATTTCAACATGACCAAATTATATATTATTATTATTATTAATTGTATTCATCAGCATTTTTACGAAATGTACTAAAATTTTTTTTACGAATGTTCAGTCAGAAAAAAAAGTTATACGGTTTTCGTAATAGAAAGAACCAATAAAACAAACAAAAAAACAAAACAAAAACCTGTACCATTACAACCTATGAAGGGTCTTCTTGGGTGCAGTACTATTTAGAGAAAGTGCCAACGGTACTATTTCAAGTCCAAAGGTTGTGCATTGAGACCAGGATCACGCTCAACTGCCAGGTTTGTTCTCCCTAATCAAGTATTTTAATTTAGAGTACCCACTTTGTAAAGGCTGGGTGTGCTCCAGGAGGATCTCCCTACCTCAGGGTCGCCCCACGGCCGATGAAACAGAATAAATAATTTTTCTGCCATGAGCTGGTTTCGAACCTGGAACCTCGAGCCTTGGAAGTTCAGTGCCCTACCACTGAGCTACTCCGCTCCTTACGAAAGAATCAATAGCCTTTTATATATGAGAAGTATTGCTAACATTTTAGCTTGATTATGAAAACAAAATATGTATGAACATATTTACTAATCACCTCCTCGCAATATCACTAATATTTCTGGTAATTGCTAATAAGGCGAGGCGATCTATCATCCAGCTCCTCTTAACCTTAAACGGACATTGCCAGTCATGTGTGTTGTGGCCATTTCATTTATAAGTATGTTATGGTGTAATGGGGCTTATTAAGTAAGTTTATGTGTTCAATTTCTGTCTTAGTTTTAGTTTTGAGTATCTTCAGGTAATTGAATTTAGTAATCTAAATATTAATTCTAAAGACTAGATCTCTTTTCTGGTTCACAGCAGTAATGGATTTTAACAATTATGAAAATGGGACAATATAATTTTCAATTCTTTTATACTTATTAAATCTTTAATAAATATAAAAGCATTGTGATGTAAAAGCTTTTACCACCGATGTTAGTGAGTAGACTGATTGAGACGAGACAATACGCTTTTTAAAAATTTCGACTCGAGCGTTCAGTTTCTAGACTACTCCGCTTTTTCAAGCTCTAATATTTATCGGCTTGGAGAAATCGCATGGTTAATTTCTATCCACAGCACGGTGATCAACAATTTCAAAAATGTGAATGAAATAAGAAATATTAATTTAGTCCGATTGATACGACTATACTGTTCTGGAATGATACATACACGAATTTTATGCAAAGACTAAAGGGATATTCATGCAACCAGTGCTAAGTATTGTAAACCTCTTAAATGTGTGTATTCGAGGAAATTATTTACAAAATCTGTGTTAAATATGGCCGCCAACACTCTCGATCCTAACGCCGCCTTGGGTCTTGTAAAGTGTCGCTAACTTCGTAAATACACGGAGAAGGTTATTGTAAGATTTTGTTGTGTTTCATTCTTTGTACAATATCTACATAAATTTAATGTAAAGACAGCTAGAATTTCATCTACATATTCAGCAAGTTCTTTACCTTCTGAATCATCTGAATTTTCATTTATGCTTTCTAATAAACCATTTTTAACCAAATAACTCATTAACTAAGTCTTTTCACATCGCTTCGGCATTTTAAAAAGAATTCTAAACGTTAGTAAATCAATTAAGAACTCATAACCTTACTAGAGAGAAATACTTTATTTAAAGCTGTTACGATTAATAACACTTTAGCACGTTAGCGCAGACCAGTTATTTACCATTCATTCAAAATTTGTGCTGACTGCTTAGCATGATAGCACATTAAGCATTTAGAATAAGTGCATTAATGCCCCCAAAGTATTTTATCAATTAAATAAAATGGACGTTTCAAGATGGTTGTATTTCTGCATCACTTGCTAAAATAAGATAAAATTCTTGGTTTCTTTTCGGCCCTCAAAATCTCTCAGTTTTTAAAAATTGTTGGATATTTCACAGATAAATTGTTTCTAATAAAATATGAATACCTATAGATCCATACATAACTATATACTGGTAACTTTAAGACGTTCTTGTGAAGCAGAATTTTATTAGAAATAGTGCTAAATCCTATCTTTTCCCTGAGCTTAGTCATTTCTTAGAAAATAAGTCTGTAGACATAACCCTATATTAATATTTAGATTCATAATATTCTAGAATAATTTTGAATAATATTTTCTATAATTTCAAGGCAAGCACAGGTTGTGGAGATATTATGACTTCATTTCTGCTGCAATCTTTATCAGTATTTTAAAAAACATTATAAGATAAAATTATTTTCCCGCAGAAAATAAGGGTATTTAAAGAGTCAATAGCAGTATGATGTATCGGGTATTTTCCATTACTCTGTTCCTTGAAGCGGAAAACTAAAGAAAATTAACTTCTCTGAGAGAAAAATTACTATCCAAAGAAATGCTTACATACCTTTACTTTAAGTTTCTTAAATAAAATTAATTTATCAAATTATTACCTTTCCTTTTAATATATATATTGTTAATAATACATAATTTTTAAAGCTTTGCCTTCAGCTAGCGAATTTTTTATTTAACGTTATTTAAGGTCATAGGGAGGGAGGAGGAGGTAGGAGATGGACACTATTTACTAGAATTACTCCAAAAGAATATAAACAAAAAAACATTAGAAAAAGTTTAGAAAATAGAAATTGAAATAGAAAATCATCTTTATTCTGGAGTTAAGTCCCTTAAGAATAACAGTATTGTTCATATAAATTAACAATAAATCTGTCCGGAAAGACCTATTATAATAAAGAATAACTAAAATACGATTAATGAAATAATTATATATCTGGTTCTTAGGACATATTAATGAAAACAGTTGGGTATTATAGTTGCAATACTACAATATTGGAGCTAAAACAATGACATAATAATCACTAAATGAAATTATAAGAAACGCTAAATAAATTTTATAGGCAAAGCATTGTAGTGATGGAATATAAAAAAAAAAAAATAAAAAATAATTTACATGTTCCCTAAGATATTTAAGTGAATACACGTAAAGATTATGAGAAGAATAAAAACAAAAAATATATATACACAAATAGAGAGGAGTGTGTCGAAGATAAGTAGAAAATAAAATAAATTTAAAAGAAATACAACCTCATGCATAGGAAAAGAAGAAGTTAAGAAAAAACTTAACTACTCACAATGCTTTCTGAGAGGTGATGAAAATTCACGTTCAATACAGAATAAAAAATAAGATAAAAAAATGTATAAAGAAAATTAAAGCCTTATTACATAATAAATATTTATCCAGCGCCTGATTGACTTATGAAGAGGAATTGGAATAAGAGGGTTTTTTTAAAATGTGGATAAGGATGAGGCATGGCGGATTTTTATTTATGTTTTATTTATTAATGTGTATTTTTCCAGAAATTGCACATGAGAAGAGTGCAAATTATAGAATATCTTGTTAACTCTTACTGCTTCAAATTTTGATATAAACATTTGAAAAAATATACATATAATAACTTTTAAAAGCTAACTATTAAAAGCAACAAAAAATAAACTGTTTTGTTACTACATTCATATCATAAAATGTAACTCATAATTCACATTATTATAGTTGTATAATTAGGAATATGAAAAAAATCTTTTAATAATTTTCAAAGTGAATAAAACAACGTATCCATTATGAGAGCTTGATGTGATTGAAGCTATGATTGAAATAAAACTTCAAAGAATAAATAAATAAAATATAACCGAGTTCTAAATTTATAATTGGATGCATTGTTGATGAAGTATAAACGCTGCTATTTTGTTTGTATAGGCAGGCATTTTTTTTTTATAGAAGTGTTTTCCATTAAAACAAACAATAGATTATACTTTTTAGCGACTAAAATCAACACAATACTTGTTTTGTCTATGCAATGACGAAAAATTTGAAAATAATAAAGAATGCTTGATTGTTGAGCCAATTTTAATATGATTCGATTCCACTGATTGAATCAAGTAACTTTATGGTTACAATAATTGTTTGTTTTATAGAAAAATGTGCCCTTGAAACAATAATCTTTTTGTTTAAATGGTTATTTGTTTTTAAAAAAAATATTATCTATTGACTGATGGAGTATGCTGTGAGTTTTTGCAACTCGTGTTAACAACTCGTAGTTGTTTCTAGAGGTACTCAAACTTTTTTATTTTATAATATTTTAAGATAAAATTTGAATGAATTAATATAATGGTACACAAACCTACTTTCGACGTTTAGACTTCAACTAGAATGCATATAATTGTTCATTTGGAACTGGATTATATTTGTGTTAGGTCCTCAATACTGCGATTAATTCTCATCAAGTGCCTAACATTTTAAAATTAAATATAAAAATTAAAGCAATTATAATCAATACTCTTAAGTAGAAGAGACAAATATGACATCTTAAGGACAGACAAATCCTAAAACGTTTCTAAGAAATAGTTTTGCATGGTATATTTGGCATGAAATAAGATGAGAATTTATGAAACTATAGAACGCGGGATAGTTTGATCTACCATATATAAATATAATCGAAGTAATTGCTTCTTGGCGATTAAAATTGGTGTTAAAATTCGTTGTGTTGATTAAAGAATGAATCATGAAAATGCTAATCAGTGTTTGAATAAGAGGTAAGTTGATGGAGATATTTGTTCTGTTTGATTTAATCTGTGAATTGGCTAAGAATGTGATGGTAGGTAGACAAAAATAACTGGCACAGTTGACTCAGAAAGTATTCAGAATGGTTCTCTAAGGTTTAATGTTAAAAGTATTGGGTTGGAAAATAAGTCCTTTCGGGTTTTCTGTTTATTTTTATGTCACTATGATACACTTCTTATCTGATGAATTAATCCCTAAGGTGGATTGTTTATCCTGTTAGTAATATGTCAATATTACAACAACTGTCAAGTCTACAACTGTTAAATTTTGTTGAAACTAGCTGAGTATTGTGTTTGCTATTACACTGTGAGTATGGAAGAAAATATTCATTATTGGTATATT